CCCAGGATTGGAAGAGCAGAGGGACTGCAGGTCAATACTATGGGGTCCCAGCACAGTGTTTGTGAGGGGCTCATGATTAGAATAACAAGGCCACTGCAGATCTGGATTGAGGTACATTGGTAATGTACAGAAACCTCTTGCACTGCACCTATCAGTATTATGAGTGGCTTTAGCCAATAGTATCACTTCCTCAGATTCCTGTCCCACACCTTCCTTTCTGACCTCCCTGATATACACTCTCAGCTATGGGAGCTAGAGGCCAGGGCCAGGGAATCAGCCCAGATCTCTGCTATAGTACGTCTCTTTTTCTAAATTGGCACCAGTCACTAACGTGAGATTTAAGGCCAGATTCTGCCACTCTTATTCACAATGAGTATTCCCTTAGTCTGAGTAGTCCCTTTGATTTTAAATAGAGCTAATTGAAGACTAAGATACTACTCAGTGGGAATAAGAGAGGCATAATCTGGCAAATAATAAATAACACAGCAAACATGCACCCCTCTGCTGTTTCACTCTTTACTGTTTCCATGGCAAAGAGTATCTTAATCCTTAGAATTAAGCAACATCACCCCCTGCATGTAAAGTACATTGAAGCATCCTGGCGTTTTATCATAGGGCCCCACTGCCTGTTGAGTATCAGTTTTACTCAAATTAACTTAATGTAAACCAACCCTGCAAGTTCCAACCTGGTCCCCTCTGCTCTTGGCCATAAATGCCTGGCCTGGGGAGAAAGGAGAGAGGCAGAGATGGAATCGCGCTACACAGCAATCCATCAGGAATGGACACCACTGGCAAATGGACACAAGGGATCAACAGCATGTAGCCCTGCCCAGGTTGACTCTTATTTCTCTCTGACAGGTACCTGAAGGGCCTAGCTCTTTTCTTTACACTGGCATCACTTGTGGGCCCAATCAATTCTCCTTGAAATGAACGGTCTCTCTCCAGGTCATCATAGGAACTAGTGCCCAAAATTACTGAGATGACATCATAGTCACAGGTCAGCTGCAAGACCCCATTGCAAACCTAGGGGGGGAAACGGCTCTTTCATCATCATGGCACAAAGTTCAGTTCCTGCCAGAGCCCCTGAGGCAAGCTGGTAATCTGAGCACTCTGGTAGTCAGAATAAAATGCAACGTGACTTGTTCCTCCTGCATTTCCTGCTCAGGTTTCTTTCTTCTATTATAGGTCTGCAGAAAACAGGAGGTTACTCAGGTCCCTGACCACTGGAACAGGGTGGGACGATTACGGAATAAGTCAGCTGCCAAGTGAAAGGTGAACAAGCCCCACCCAGGCACTGAATCATAAAACAATGAAAATAGATCTTATTCTTTGTAAGCACCATGCGTAAGAGGCTGTACGTGAGATGTGGCTTGATTTGTTCAGTAAGTTGCAGGAGTAAAGGAGGAAATTGGGTTTTTGCCATGGACAGGGCAGGGTTTCTTTCCTAACAAATTACAGCTGAGCCAGAGTGCAGCCCATCCAGGCTGAAATGCCATCTCTGATGCCTGCAATCTTGCAGTTCCCTTAAAAGGGAGATTTTGGTCCAGGATAAATGAGAGCCTAAAAAGCTCCCATCTATTGAAGGAATGTGGCTGCTGTGAAGTGAACTTGTCTCACATGGAGCTAGGAAGCTTGGAGGAGAAGCACAGAGACAATGGCAGGGCTGGAGATGGTGGATGATTCCAGGTCCGTTAACGCTGCTTCTGAGGCAATGTCAGTGATGTGATGGGAGGTTATACAATGGGGTAAATTAGGCTGTCTCCCATTTATGCTACTTCATTAGATGGATGCACCCCCCTGCTCTGTTCAAACCCCAATGCAAGTCACCTGCTAAAGTTTCAGAGCAGGTAGCTCCTGTTTTGGGACAGGTGATGATCACTGCACAAATACATCACTGACCTAGTTAGTGTTTGCCAGAACTGAGGAGAAAGTTCATAGCAGGAAGGAGCATCTTTACTGTCTCCCCCCTCTCTCCTGCTGGCAGCACGTGCCTAGAGCATAAATGTTTTGAAACCTGGGGACTCAGCTAACAGAAAGTCGTTGAACTGGGCATCTCAACTGCCCCTGAAATGCTGTCCCGTGCATCTCCTCCAAGGAGCCACCTCACACTCCACAGTTAACATCTGCCCCCGATGGGTGTGAAGTGGAGAAAGGGAAATGTTTTTACCTTTGTGAGAACTTTGTTTTCTATTAGTCTGACCAGCTGCTTTATTTGGGGTCCAAACAATGAGGAATACGGCCACCAGAGCAAAAGACACTTTGACTTGCCAGTAGAGCTCTGCGGAGAACAGAAATTCCATTTCACAGAGGATTTTGAGATTTCTAATTTTTTTTTGTTCTGAACAAACTCTGAAATCCTCTGCAAAAGAAAATCCCAAAACAGTTTCATTTCAGATCGATCAAAATGTTTTGTTTTGATTTTGATTTTATTTTAAATAGTATGACAATAATTCTAATATAGAATTATATAAAACAAATTAAAAAAATAAAAATAAAAGTTTTTTTCAAAAAGAAAAATCAAAATGTTTCATTCTGAAAATGTTGAAGTGGGGTTGTGGAAGCAGAAGAGTAAGATCTAGGGGTAGATGTCTTTAGACCCTTTAAGGATTGAGCAAAAAGAAACCCTAACCCTAACCACGGGAGAGTTGTAGGAGATGCTGTTCTCGCCTTTGCTTTTAGTTGATAAGAATGGAATGATGACTTAAGCAGAAACCTTGAGATAAGGTAGTGTCTGGAGGGAGTTTGTATAAACAAAGGATAACCGTTAGCTGTTGATGTATGTAACGGAAAAGTATAAATACTTGTCTTTTACTGCTTGTAGGGGGAAGATCTGCCTGAAGTCAGGAGACCCCCTGTCCGACTGCAGTCTTCCCTTGCAATTGCTCGTAATAAACTGTCTCTGACTTGTTGCTAACAAACGCAGAGTGAGGACTTGTTTTCTTCCACAGGGTATTTCAACACTGTCTGAATTATTTCCCTCTCCCCTCATTTTATTTTCCTAAATGAAATTTCAGCAAAATCAATACAATTTCATGAAGCATTTCATTTTTGATGGAATTGCATTTTCAGCTGGAAAATTGCTCCAGCCAGGTTCTTCTGACCTGATCTACTTGTCAGGTTTTCCTCACCATCACCTCAAACCAGAGGCCATTCTGTCTGGTCTAACTGTGATCCTAAATCACTTGGATATGTCTGAAAATGTCCCCCACTCCCAATGATAAGTCTTCCTTAATGCTGGATTTCCCATCTTGTGTCTGTCTTTTATGCTGTAAGTTGCTTGGGGCAGGGACTGTCTTTATATTAGGGTGTTGGTACAGTGCTAAGCCCACTGTTGGTGTTAAACAAATAAATCAAGGCTAATGACTAGCCAGAGACCTGACATTCAGGAGCTTTTATTCTCCTCCCCCCCACCCCCCGTTTTCACATCAGCATGAAAATTCAGTTCACATTTTAAAGTGTGAGTTCAGCACCAAGTGCCCCAGGATGGGTGTAATCTTTGCTCTGGGTGAATGGTCCACAGGGGTAAGAAATGAGTTCTGTGTGCATGGCCCCTTCACACCTTAGCCTCCCCTCTGCTGAGAGCACCAGCCCATGCCATAGAGGAGGATGGATTTTGTGATGTAGGCAGCTGCACAGAGCCACCTTTCACACAGGGGTCATCACCAACCACTAGATGGCAGTGACTTCCCAGGGCTAGCGTGGAACTGATGGGCTATCCAAAAAGGGCTCTTGCTGCCTTCCTCAATCCCTGAGCCACCTAGTCCATCTCAGTTAACACATTATTACTGTAGAGGCCTTTATCATTGACCAGGATCCCATTGTTCCAGGTGCTGTACAAACACAGAACAAAGAGAGGTTTCAGAGTAGCAGCCGTGATAGTCTGTATCTGCAAAAAGAACAGGAGTACTTGTGGCACCTTAGAGACTAACAAATTTATTTGAGCATAAGCTTTCGTGGGCTACAGCCCA